GAAGACCTGGCCCAGAATTGTATCTTCTTTTTTTATTTCTGCTGCCTTCTGGTTCATTATTATTTCTCTTCATGTCTATTTAATCCGCTTTTAAACTGGTTTGTTGATTTTTTTTTTTTTTTGGTTTTTTTTTGAGTCAGGGTCCCCAGCTGTCCTGGAACTCACTATGTAGACCAGGCTGGCCTTGAACTCAGAGATCTGCCTGCCTCTGCCTCCTGCGTGCTGGGACTAAAGGTGTGTGCCACCACGCCCGGCCCATACAATAGATCTGATCTTAATCAAATTTAGCCCCCGCCTTCCTCATCTATGCACCACCCCCCATGTCCTTCCATTGGATTTCATGCATTCTGTCATATAAGTTAAGTCCTATCGGTCAAGCACTTGTACCAAGATGTCCAGTGCAAGTTTATCCATTGGAGTCTAGTCATCCTATCCAGAATCACTCCCTAAAATACCTATTTTCCTTTACCCAGCAGTAACTAGTTGCCAGTAGTTCCTCAGCTGGTGTTGGGGCCTGCTGCCTATTTCCCTCCTCCTATGCTGGGGTTTTGTCTGACTGAATCTGCATGGGTCTTGTGCATGCTGTCACAGTTGTTGCAAGTTCATATGAGCAAGTTCCCAGTGGCCTGAAAGCCTCTGTTTCCTTATGTTCATGCACCAACCCTGGCTCTTAGACCCCTCTTCAATGGTCCCTGAGCTGTGGGTGGGTGAGGTTTGATATAGGAGTCCTCTTCAGGGACACACACTCTGCAGTCTCTATTCTCTAAAACTTAGCTAGTTGTTACCTTCTGTGTGTATTGCACTCTGTTGTATTAGGAAGCTTCACTGGTGAGAGTTAAGGGATTATTAGTGGTCTCTCTACTCTTCTGTTCTGCTGTGTTCCATGAGCCTTAGGTGTAGAGGATCCCTTGTAGATGTGTCACTTAGGGTTTGGCATCTATCAGATATATATTCTTTGTGTGTGATCAGTTGTGGAACTCTGTAATAGCCTCCATCTGTTGCAAAATCAAAAAAGCTTCTTTGGTGAGTGGCATGAGGTATACTTGTCTGGGTAGTAGGAGACAGGTCTGTGGCAGGCAGGTCAGGAGGCCAGGGCCAAGGTGGGGGTGGGGGCAGCCTGTGGAGGGGCTAACAAACTATGCTAGATTAAGCTAGTCTGAGTTAGGAAACTAGTCCAGAGGTCTGAGGCAGAAGAGCAGGAGCAGGCCTCGGTCCAATGCTAGACAGGGGACAGAGTGTGGAAGAAAGTGGAGCTGCTCAGGCTGAAGGGGAATCAAGAAGGTGCTTTAAAAATTTTTGTTTAGCATTTTTTTATTGTATGTGTAGTTGTTGGTGTGCCACAGCACCTGTATGGAGGTCAGAGGACAACTGGTGGGAGTCATTTTCTCCACTGTGTGGGTTCTGGGGGTCAGGGATTGAGCTCAGGCTGGCCACCAGGCTTGGTGACAAGTGCCTTAACTCACTGAACCATCTTGGCAGCCCTAGTTTTTACTCTTTTTTAACTTAAACACGTACAAACGTTAGACTCGTATATTTGGTTTGTTATTTATAATTTTAGAGATTCTGTTTTCTGTATGTAGATATGAAAAAATTTAAATTTTTGTATATGGAATGAAATATAGAGTATTTTAGAGAAGATTAAACCCTGTGAAAATTTATATCTTTTATTTTAAATTTATTTTTGTTATTTATTTATCTATTTATTGAGACAGGGTTTTCCTGTAGCTCCAGCTAGTCTGGGGCTCATATGTTGATCAGGTTGGGCTCGCTCTCAAAGAGCTCCATCTGCCTCTGACTCCTGAGTGCTGGAATTAAAGGTGTGTGTCACCGTGCCTGGCATGATTTATTATTTAATGTGTATGAAAGTGTTACCTGCATGCTTGTAAGAGTACCATGTTGTGCCGTATCCATGGAGGCCGGGAGAGGAGGCATTGAATTTCCTACAACTAGAGTCACATGTGGTTGTAATCCACCATGTGGGTGCTGGGAATCAAACCCAGGTCCTCTGCAAAAGCAGCCAGTGCTATTTTCTTTTTAATTAAAAAAAATATTTATGTGTATAAGTGTATTGTCTGCATGTACGTGAGTACACCCATGTTGTGCAATGCTGTGGAGGTCAGAAGAGGGCTTTGAATTCCCCTGGAACTGGAAGGAGTTAAGGACAGTTCGTAGCCACTATGTGGGCCCTGGGAATCGAATCTGGGTCCTCTGCAAGAGCAGTCAGTGTTCTTAATCGCTTGCTGAACCATCTATCCAGCCCCAGCAGCCAGTGCTCTTAACTGATGAGCCATCTCTTTAATCCAGAAAATGTATGTCTTAATAGAGATCTAAAAGTATTCTATTAATCTCTCTTACTTGATAATTAATGTATTTGTTGTATTTAGAGAATGGTTTTCAGTGGGGAGGCTTTTCTCTCCTGGACAGATTTAGCAATGCCTGGGATGGATTTTTATTGTCGTTACGGGCTGGGAGGTGTTACACTCGGTGAGGCCAGGGAGACTGTTCAGCACCTAGGATTCACAGACTCCCACAGTAAAACTGCTCAGAATCCAATGTCAGTAGCAGTTAAGTTTCAGAAACTGAGAGAGATAGAGATGCAGGTGTTGATGTGAGAAAAGGTTTTCAGGGTTTAGGAAAATAGGAAGTCTCAGAAAGACTTTTCTCTTGGATGTTTTCTTTTTCTACTTTACTCCAGATGTTCATGTTCAGAAAGCCAAAATTAAAAGTCTGTTATCCGACTACCACTGCTAGTCAGTTGGACTTTCAGTTATTTCTTGCCATTTTTCTATTATGTAATAATGCATATTCATTGTGGAAAACTTGGAGAAAATAGAAAATTTAAAGGTATAAAAAAACTAGTCATTGAGATGACTCAGCAGGTAAAAGCACTTGGTTGCCCAAATCTGATGACCTGAGTTTGATCCCCAGAACCCACATTCAAAGCCAGACACTTCTATAATCCCAGCACTCCTAAGGCAGGATGGGAAGTGGAGACCACAGACACAAGAAGAGACCCTGTCTCAGCGAGGGGGAGGCGAGAGTGGCCTCCTGAGATTATCTTGACTTCTATGTGCACACAACAATAAATTGTTTTTTAAGATAGGAAAAAAAGTCCTCTCTTCTATGTAAGGACCATTAACGTTTTGATGTATTTCATTTCTTTGCAGGTTTTTTTTTTTAATGGGGTTCTGAAAATACTGTGTAGTTTTAATCTCAAAGCCAAGCATAAGTATGTATAATATAACATGCTTTTGTTTTTAACCACTTGCTTTCTAGTATTGAAGTGTTTCTAATGCTTTCCTATTGCGAATAGTGCTTGGTGACCATCTCACCCCCAATTATTTAGTGACATTGTAGATACTGCTTTTAGAAGGGCTTCCCTCATCCATCTCATTGCTGTTGATAAAAGATGAATAGATCTGAGGATATTGTTGGGTATGTGGTTGTTATGCATTTGTGCAGGTGAGCCTGCATGTGTAGGCCAGAGTCAGACACTATTGTCTTCTTCAGTTTTTCTCTTATTTTTTTCGAGACAAGGGTTCTCACTCATCAGTTCGGTCAGACTGAATGGCCATTGAATGTCAAGGATTCGCCTGCCTGCATTGCTCTCAGCACTGGGTCACAGGCGAGCACTGCCTTTCACTTGGTGTTAGGGCTCTGAATTCAGGTCCTCATGCTTGTGTGACATTCCCTTTACCTACTGAGCCCCCCCTGCCCCCCTTTTTTTTAAAGCAAAACTCTTATCTGTGATATCCACACATAAAACTTTTGAAGACTTAAAACTTAAATAAGAAATCCGTTGTCTGTTGTGTTGGGAACCTCACTAATCTGCCTGAATAAATGGAATATAAAAGAATAGCATGTAAAATTTTCTTGGGATTGTTCAGTTTTTGTAGTAACTATGGTCTTGCAAATTTGTAATGCCGTGTTTTATTTTTTAATTTTAATTTTTATTGTCTTTTTTGAGACAGGGTCTCCCTGCAGCTCCAGCTGGCCTAAAACTTGCTATGTAGACCAGGTTATCCTTGAACTCACAGAGATCCACCTGCCTCTGCCTCCCGAGTGCTGGGATTAAAGATGTGCATGCACCACCATGCCCAGCTTCAAACTGTCATTCTTCTAGAATTTTGAAAGACCTGTGATTCACTTGCTATTTATATCATTGTTGAATCTAGTATTTACTATCATGGGTGATTACAATATGACTATGAAGTTTCATAAATACAGTAAGTTCTAGAAACTAGATTCTGAATGAGGTCCTAATTAAAGAAACTTGATGGAACTTTGCTGGGATTGTTAAACACCACTTCTGTAGGTGAATGGGCGGCCACTGTGTGTTAGGAAGATGAAATTCTCTGAGTACATGATGCAGGATCATCAAGATAAGTTCTCTTAAAGCCATCCCTACAGAAAAGGATTGGAATTTAAAGGATGTTGGTTAGATATCCTAGAATTCTTAGATCCCTTCTCTGTCCTTGAGCTTTCCTCCTAAATATTTACTGCTTCCTCAGGTGACTGAAAATGGTCTTTACTTGGAGTCCTTACTTGATTAATGACAAGATCAAACTTCACTAGACTGGTCAGTTATCTGAGGTTCGCTTTTCTTACTTTTCATATAGCCTTTAAAATTATTCTCAAACATACTTAAAAATAATAGTTCTAGTCTTATCACCATCACTTTCTTCAGAAGCGTGGCCATATTTAGTCTTCAAACTCTGCACTACAGTGCTCAATGGATAGTCTACATCACAGATACACAGAGCAGTATTCGTGTTCTCAGAAGCTCCTGTGCTCCTACAGGTAGTGAATCAGGTTTATCTTCCAGTGTGTTATTAGTGTGAATCTATCTAAATTTATTTACTAGTAGTTTAGAATAATATTTAAGTGCTTTTTTATTTGGAATGAAAACACTCAAATTTAAATGTTAAAAACATTAAGATGTTCTGAAGTATAATTAAAAACATGCAGTTGTAAATTTCATAAACTATTCTCTCTTTTAGGAGAGGGTTAAATCCACCGCACAGGGTGAAATCTATCTCCATGACTACATTTACACAACAGGAAATTGAATTCCTGCAAAAACATGGAAACGAAGTAAGTGTTTTAGCAATTTTCAACTTTTGTTACATTCATTTAATGAGATTTCTAAGTTGCTTAAAATGGTGAATTTCATTGTCTGAAAGTGTTTAGATATTTAAGAGTGTTCCATTTAATAATGCATTTGGAATTAATACTCACAACTCAGATGATTTTCTCCAAAACTGAAGTAAAACATACGTATTTAAACTTGCAACTGGTGACTTGTAAAAGGCAGTTTTGGAGGGTATCTTGTATCTGGGTTACTGTTAGTCTTTGCTTGGAAAGTCTGCGGGCAGGTGGGGGATGAACTAGTTTTGTATTAGACTTACTAGGCTGTTGTGCAATATGCTTTCCTTAGAGTCCTCTCCATCCTCAACTACAATTTTAACTCAGATGTATGTGATGTTTATGTTTAGTGAATGCTCAGTTCATAGAAGATTAGGTGTTTTGAAGGCAGCATAGTGTCATAGGGAGCCAAATAGAGAGTTGGAGGGGAACTGTTTTACCTTTAATGAGTTCCTAGTAAGTCCATGCTGTTTGCATATTTATTTTTAGACTTATGTATTGCTACTGATAATTAATAAATAAATTAGTAAAGTTCGCTGGGCATAGTCTCATACACCTTTAATCCCAGCACTCAGGAGGCAAAAGCACCTGGATTTTGTGTGAGTTCATGGCCAGCCCGGTCTCCATAGGGAGTACAAGGCCATCCAGGGGTGCATAGTGAGACCCTGTATCAAAACAAACAAAAATAAAATTGAAAAAAAGCACGGGATTACTTTTTTAATCTTGGTAGGGTTGAGTGAGTCAGCCCAATTGATTAATAAAAGCCATTATTCTTTCACAGGAGATGCTTATTTTCTAGGAAGGAAATACAGCTTTAGCTGTATTCTGGTTGCTATCTTTGATAGCCTTATGAGTCTCTCACTTTTGGAAAATGTATACAAGCATATAATACTCTTTTCTTCTCAATGCTTTATGACAGTATCTTAAAATTTTTTGACTAACAAACCAGGTGTGGTGCTGCAGGTGTGTAATCCCAGCACTCAAGATAGAGGCAGGAAGATCAGAAACTCAAGGTCAGCCTTGGATACATCACAAGTTCTGAGCCAGCCTTGGGGGCTACAGGAGACTCCATTTAAAATAACAACTTGGAATTAGTTGCCTACTGTGATGCACACATATTTTTGGTTCTAAAATATTGAAGTGTGAATTCACGGCTGTGAAGTGGTCTAAAATACGTAAAGAATAGAGTAACTCTGAAGTCCCCAAATTTGCCAGCAGCAAAGGGGTTTGCACTGGTAGATACTTGAGTACAGTACAGGAAGATCAGAGGCTGGATGAAAGAGCAGATGGGTTTTAATGATGGCAAGCCTAAAGTAGCACATTTATTGACTATAATTTGTACTCTATAATGTTTGTAAAGACTTACGGTTTCTTTGAGTGTTGATTGTGTATGCGAGATTTTGGAAATGATAATGGAGTAACAGGATAAAGAATATTATTCTGTTATGTTAAAGGCATAATGATGACAGATAAAGAGTTATAGACCTGAAAAGGTTCTTTGGAAAAGGAAGTAAAAATGTGCTCATATAAACAAGGTTAGGTAGAGACATGGCCCCAAAACATGGATTGTAGTTAAGAGCACTTACATGAGATCTACTGATAACTTTTTTTTTCTTTTTGGGTCTTTCTGTGACAGGGTCTCCCTCTAGCACCAGCTGGCCTGAACTTGCTGTGTAGACAATGTCTAGGCTGACCTTGATCGCACAGAGATCTGCCTGCCTCTGCCTCTGGCTGGGACTAAAGGCATGTGCCCTGCCCAGCTTACTCTGATAGCTTTTAAGAGTGCAATACATTGTTGTTAAATCTAGGCAGGCATAGTGCTTATTCAGCAGATCTCTAGAACTTAACTCATTTGCATAGCAGAAATTTCCTTGCTGTTGAATTAGTAATTCTCCATTCCCTCATTTGCTCCTGGCAGCCGCCATTCTCTGACTGTTTTAGATACTTCACTCATATATGTGGAATCATATAATTGTCTTTCTAAGATTATTTTAGCCATTCGTTCCTAAGGTTCATTTTTATCACATATGGCAGAATTTTTGAGGAAACATTTTTTAGGAGGTACCAAGGTGAATTTAGAATATATAAAAAGAAATGCTTGACTTTGATGAACTGACTTAGAAATAAAAGCAGTACATTAACTTCAGAAATGACCAGAACGACTTGTAAATGTTAAACCCTGCAAAGAGGCATGCAACCACCGTGACTGACGGTGTGCTGGGTGCTGTGGGCGCAGTTACAGATGGTGCAAATCCAGGACACAAAGAAAAAGACTTGGGATAGTAAGGTAGGGAAGACCCGACCTTGTAAGTGCTTGTTGAGGAAGACACATTTTCTCATAGTATGCCTAAAGACATCCTAGCACCAGTTAGACTAAATGTATTTGTTCTTCACAATATTGCCAGTCTGTTTTTAAACACTCAAGAGATGTGTAGAGAATAAGGATTACTATTATGAAGTGCAGGATGTTTGATACAACTTCATAATCAAAACCTCATGGACTTGAAATGCAGGTTATTATCTCTATACATCTTAAATACAGCATATATAAAGAGTAGAAATTATTTCATATCCCCCTCCAACACTTTGAATAAAGATCCAGGTAAGGCTCATAACAGTGTGAGTATTGCTTTTTAAGGTTAGTATTTTACATCTCAAAATACATTGCCATATTTCTACTTTGAATAGTTTAGAAAGGACTCTACACGGTGGGTGGAGAGATGGCTCATGGATTAAGAGCACTTACTGCTCTTAGAGAGGACCCAAGGGCAGTTCCCAGCACCCATGTCAGGTGACTCACAACCACTTATAATTCTAATTCCAGGGTGTCCAGTGCCCTCTTTTGACCTCTGCAGGCACTGCATTTATGTGGTCAGATACACACACACACACACACACACACACACACACACATAAATAAAAATGAATTATTTTTTAAAAAAGAAAGGATTATGATCCATCAAATTTATGATTAAATGGCGCTATCATATGTCGTGGACATGAATGGGTGTTTTGCCTGGAAATGGGTGTTTCCGGACTAGGAGATCTTCTGTTCCCCTCTGCCCCACCATACTAGTTTTGTGTGTTTGGGGACTTGTCTGTTGTCATTGTTGGAAAGCATTGCTAGTTTAAGCTGGGAAGCACCGTGGATGATGAAGAATTGGTAATGTGCTGCACAGAGCTAACCTGCATGCCGTGTATTTTATATGATTATCCAAACACTTGTGTCCAGCCATCTGCATACATAAATTAACCCTGTGTTACATATATTGCAGCTGAGGACATCTTAACTGCAAAGATCATGCTTCATAGCCAGAGTTATTGGGGGGACTACCAGGGTCCAAGGCAAAGGGCATGGAAACATGGACGTCAGTAACTGAAACCATCAATGCAGTGGCTAATCACATGTGCCTGACTAGGGAGAGCATCGCTTCATTCAGAACCTTGTCAGGAATTGTTGACTGTTTTGAAAAACTATAAAACTGGTGATCTCAGAGTTATTCGTGAAGTACCTATGGATTGGGCTGTGTTGGTAGCTATGATAAGTAGTACTGTTATTTACAAATATGCACAAGGCCATATGGATTATGTCACTTTTTATAGATAGATTTTATAGATTGCTTGACGATGAAATGTTTTCAGACTTCCACAGACTGAAGCAGATGTGGCAGAGCAGACGGATCTCTTACTCAGTTGTAGAGCAGAGTGTCAGATGTAAGGAAACACATTACACCAAAGCATTTTGTATTTATTTGTTGTGTTTTTTATCTTTTTTTCTAAAGTAGATTATTTCTCAAAAATTTTCCACCTATTTTGCCCTGTGGTGTAGTTGACTTTTTGTCACTGTAACGACCTAGCTGAGATAACCTATAAAGGGTAGAGGTTTATTTTGTCTGTTCAAGATTTGTTTTTGATGCTGGGCATGCCCCCAGGAGGTAGAAGTGGGTGGAGCTCTGCGAGATGGAGGTCAACCTGGTCTAAATAGTGAGTTCCAGGCAGGCTGGGACTAGGGCAACCCTGTTAAAAGAAAATTTGCTTTTTTATTTTTTTTAATTTGTGACACTGAACTAGAAAGTGTGATCCCTTTCTCAAAGTATTGAGATGATGGGTGTGTGCTGCTATGCCCAGCTAACAGGTTTACCTTGAATCAGACTTTACAAGGTTTCAGTCTGTGGTCAGCTGGACTTGCCGCTTTCATCTGTAGGGAGGTAGCATATCATGACAGGAACCACGAGAAACACCGCACACCAGAGAGGAACCGGGAGGAGGAAGCAGGCAGGGCTGCGGTCCCACGATTGCCTACAAGGGCTTTAAAAACCTCCACAGAGTTCCTCTCAGAGGTTCCAGTGCCTTCCGATAGTGCCACCTTCGGCACCAAGCTTTTAACACACTGCCCTTTAGGTCACATGCTAGGTCCATACCCTAGTCTAAAGCATCGTATAATGGTTTCGTTCACATTAAAAGCTATTTAAAAAATTTTAATGATGTGTTTGAGATGGCTCTGTTGGTAAACTGCTTGCTACACAAGCATGAGGACCTGAGTTCAGGTCCCAGTACCAACATAAAAAGCTTAGCACAGCAGCATGTACCTCTAATCCCAGAACCAAGTAGGCAGAGACAGGAGAATCCCTGGAGCTTGCTGACCAGCCAGTGTAGACAGTCAGCGAGGATTGATTGAGGATGACATTCCTGTATTTCTAATGTTTCCTTCTCTGTCCTCTTTTGTGACATCATGTATAAATAATGATGTTTTAGTTGGAGTTTTGCTATTGGCTTAACTTTTGATTCTTAAGAGTTAATAAAAGGAGGGCCAGAGAACAGTGGGTAGATAATTCACCAGAAAAGAAAATAAAGCAATAATTGTATTTTGAAACAGAGTTGTTCTTCTTTTCTAGTAGTGAATGATCTTTCCTCATGTTTTATGGCTTATGACCAAAGGACTGAGAACA